AACCGAGACCTTTCCCTGTGGTGGGAAGGGGGAGGTGGGAGTTCAGGTGGGACAGGCCGGGGAGAAAGGGGAAGATACGGACCCCACGAGCTGTGAGAAATTGTGGAACTCTAAAGGGACAGACTTTTAAAGATGATCTTTTGATCTGCTTTGAGGAAAAAGAGCTGCCCTGTGCTACAGAACCTCCACAAGAACTAAGAATCGCAGAATCATAGAATCGTCTAGGTTGGAAGGGGCCTTAAAGATCATCTAGTCCAACCATCAACCTAACTCTGACAAAAAAATAAATAAGAAATAAGCAATAAAAAAAATCACTAAACCATATTCCTGAGGACCATGTCAACCCGTCTTTTGAACACCTCCAGGGATGGTGCCTCAACCTCTTCCCTGGGCAGCCCATTCCAATGCTGGAGAACCCTTTCCATGAAGAAATGTTTCCCAATATCCAGTCTAAACCTCCCCTGGTGCAACTTGAGGCCATTTCCCCTTGTCCTATCTCCTGGGACTTGGGAGACGAGACCGACCCCCACTTCTCTACACCCTCCTTCAGGTAGTTACAGAGCATTAGAAGGTCTCCCCTCAGCCTCCTCTTCCTCAGACTGAACACCCCCAGCTCCCTCAGCTGCTTCTCATAGGACTTACTCTCCAGACCCCTCACCAGCTCCATTGCCCTTCTCTGGACCCGCTCCAGCCCCTCAATGTCTTTTTTGTGGTGAGGGGCCCTAAACTGGACACAGTACTCGAGGTGAGTCCTCACCAGTGCCCAGTCCAAGGGGACCATCACTGGGTCCTACTCGCCACGCTGTTCCTGACACAGACCAGGATGCTGGTGGCCTTCTTGGCCACCTGGGCACACTGCTGGCTCCTGTTCAGCCAACAGGCGACCAACACCCCCAGGTCCTTTTCTGTCAGGCAGCTCCAGCCATTCTTCCCCAAGCCTGTAGTGCTGCAGGGGGTTGGTGTGACCTAAACTTGGACTTAAAGGCTTAGTGAGGGGAGCTGGGACCACGACTGAAGTTCACAGACTAGCACTTTGTGCACGGGCAGTTTGCTGCCCCCCCTGCCATAGCCCCCTCGCTATAACACATTTTTGAGAAAGAACAACGTAGAAACATTTAGCTAATGACCACTTCTGAAATGCTTTTGAGAAGAAAAAAAAAAATCACATAAAAGATCAAATCAAGTCTACATCGAATGATCTCACCCTTCCTTAATAGAGTCAAAAGAGCTAGACAACCTGTCACCATAATCACAGAATGACACGGGGTTGGAAGGGATCTCTGGAGATCATCTCGTCCAACCTCCTGCCAAATCAGGTCCACCCAGAGCAGGGTGCACAGGAACTTGTCCAGGCAGTGTTTGAATGTCTCCAGAGAAGAAGTCCATGAATGACCTTCTGGAAGCAATGGAATACAACAAATGGCCAGAAAAGCCAAGGCCCCTGGGGCAGAATCTCAAACTTGATGCCACTGTTCATAACATCAGCTGAAACTGCAAGCTGGAAGAAGCAAAACCTTCCTGATAAATTAGTCAGTTCAACTGGATTTCATTGACTGCAAGAATTACGTAGTAAGACCTATTACTTATGAAGGCTGAATGCTCCGTTCCTAAACTTTCAGAGAAAAATACCATGAAAATTTCAAAAGAGAAGCCTGATACAGGACTTTCAAAAACTGCCTATTTTGCCATCGTAAGCCGATGCAAAACTGCTCCCTCTTTTTGTTTTTTTATTGCTTCAAACGTGTTGGGGGATAATGAAATCTTTTCCTAATGTTTGGTACATCTCATTGTCGTTAAGATATTTTAACTATTCAAATGGATTCACGTTCTTGTTATTTCAGAAGGAATACATTGGACCTGGTAGGTCAATACCAATTAAGACAGCGTCACTCTGAAGCAGAAAAGGGAAATCCCAGGTTTCCTTCCTGCGATGAGGTAGGTTGAACATTTCTTTAAAAAAAACCCAACCACCTAATAAAGTGTATTTCACTGCAAATGGAACAAGAAATTCTTAATAAAACTCTGTTGCTACAATTCAAGTAAACTATTTGGAATAAATCTCCCCAAATGCTGCAAGGCTTTAAAGTATCTGAAAACGATCAGAAAAGTGAGTGAAAACAGAAACCACCTCCATCATCTTTTTATATTTACTGCATCATTAAATGAGTGTAATTGCATTTGAAGTAACAAGGCACAAGCATCTTTTCCTACGCCTTTTGCATGGTTTCCACACACACTTTGGGAAAAATTGATTCTAATAATAAAAATGCTCTGGATAAGGTAAAACTGTGCAGTTACTTCAATACAGCAGAAAATGGGAAATAACTACTTTATTTGTTAAACATCGAGAGGAAATGTCTAACACAGAAAACCCACTTCTCAAGAGAACCCACGCACAGGCAGCTTCAGACTCACACTTTCTGAAGGCTGTGAAAGAAAACAGCAGCTGAAAAAAAAATGTAAGAGGAGAAACAGTTGGCATTTTTGGTCAAATCTTGAGAACAAAAGTGGAAGTATTACTCACAGGAAAATGAACTTAGTTTATGAGCGTGGGTGAAATTAATTTTAAGGAGAATGGTCGTTTTCCTGCTGTGGTTGGACTTCACACATCAAACTCTCGATCTCGCTTATAATTTTGGGGGCCGGCCTTCTAGGATCTGCTAAATTCAAGCGTCCCAATTTAAACTGGTGGCCGGAGACACGTGCCCGCGGGGGCCCAGGGGAACCTCACCGGGTCGGGGCGGAGGAGAGAGCAGCGGGGACCGCTCCGGGCACCGCTCCGGGCCCCGCTCCGCCCCGCCGCCTCCCGGGGCGGGT